ATTTTATTCATTTAGTAATAGTCTTGATACGTAATAATCGATCAAAATAATAAAATGTACTCAACAAAGAAGATACCACTGTCCTTTGTTATTAGCGCGGCCGGAAGAAAAATGAGACAAATCAAGTTAGTTTGAAAAACTACTGTTCATTTTGCATTAAGTAATACTAAACACTGTAATTCAGATTCTTTCACTTTCGGCAATTGTGATGACTAGTAATATTTGAATTATTATACGAACTAGAAATTCCAGAAATAATGCAATTTAGACCAAGCATAACTAGATGGGACAAACGAAAGTATTGTATTTGGAATTCGAAATCAGGCACACATCAAGTACAGAGGAATCATTAGTTCATACATATACCACATCCACTACAGCTTAAGTTGGAATACACATTTCTGTAATCGATTGTGCTTCTCCTCCTTGAGCTCAACCTATGTCTGTCTGAGAGAGTAATAGATGTGGACTCTGTATTATTTAGAATGTACTCATTAGTGTCAAAACAACAACTTGGTTCCTGGAATTTTATTTGATCAACATGTCGGTTGAGTACGGAAAACACTAATATCTAGAATTTGAACCATAGACTTAACACTATCTTCCACACGGAATAATGTTGGGTGTAGTGTGATTCATCATATGCACTACTCGTTTTAAAATGTTCAAAAAGAAACACTTAATTTATTACAAGTATGATAGAAAGTAACTTAAGTGGCGCTTTTATAATCTAGACATTGAATTTTATTAATGTACAGGTTGAATGATCCATTTTGATACTTTACCTTATTGCTACTGATTAAAAATGTATAGAACGATTAGAATTGTCATCGGAGAATTTTCAAAGTCCTACTGTAGTAGACGCTATTCACAAGATTGCTTGTAGTTAGTATGTTGCAGGACGTGACCTCTAAGTTGTCGGAACACTTAGAGCCTAGATGATAAGACTTTTCGGCTTCCAGAACACACCAAATGTTCCAAATGGACGATTGAACATTGTTTACGTATTACGTAAGTGCTTTGTAACTTCTCACAACAAACGTGCATTCCTTCTGAATATTGCTTTCTTTTACAGTATCCCACGTTATTTTCTGATGATCCTGCGGTTTAGTGATACATAGGTTACTGGGGAAGGGATTTCGTTCATTAGTAGGAATTGTTCGTTATCGTTGTAATAATGTGCTTGGTGCCTGATCGTAGCTTCACCTAGAACCTAATCTGATGAATAAAAGACCTCACAAAGATCCATCAGGTTTGTATAAAAGGGGGTTAAACTTTAAATCAAAAAACATTTCAGCTATTTTCCGAACAATTGGACAAGTTTAAGTGTGACTTTCATAACGATAAATGTTTACTGTCTATTATCAGATGAAAAGTGGGATGGGTTCCACGTTCCATCTAGTGTAAGAACAGTGTATGTCTGAGAACCTGGAAATACTTCAGTCTTAATTCTATATCAGAAGGGGTTTTGTGGAGATTGTAGTAGTTTCAATCATTAAGATCATGAGTCAGTTGAAGCTAGACCACCATGGAAAACCTGGAAGCACTGGACGGCCGTTTCGTCCTATTGTGGGACTCCTCAGCAGTGCGCATCCACGACCTCGCCCCCTGCGAGGTCGTCTAGTGGTTAAGTGCTCGCGCGCGAAACCAGTAGGCCCTGGGTTCGAATCTCGCAGGGGGCGAGGTCGCGGATGCGCACTGCTGAGGAGTCCCACAATAAGACGAAACGGCCATCCAGTGCTTCCAGGTTTTCCATGGTGGTCTAGCTTCAACTGACTCATGATCTTAATGATTGAAATTAATTCTATATGTTGGGTTACATCATATGCTGCTAGGCTATGCAACTGTATTAAGATAAGACAGTGTGAGTTCTAACTGTATTTTGATGGATTGATAACATGCGGGATATCATTAACGACTACTTGTTTGTCGTATGCGCTTTGTCATATTTTATTTGATTAGAGAACAGTAAAATTACCAAAATGAAGACTTCTCCTTTAATTAGAATAAGCACCCTTTTTATGAAATGAACATTATCCTTAGAACACCTACATGCCGAATTAATGTTTCTAATTGATAATAAATATATGTTAGTTAACAACACTGAGTTTTGCATCAAAAATAGTGATGATCATTTTTCAATAAAGAAATTAATAGATTTATGTTCTAGCATGTTTTCTGTCATTATTTTATTTTAAATAATTGTATTAAATAAATAGAACTTGTGAAAATGTAAAAACAGAACAGCTAGATTAACATATATATTGAATTTCTTAATTCACAGAACATAATGAAATAATCTATTAGATTAATCCACCGAATAAGCAGAAGCAGAATATTGAAAATTTTGAAATAATAAGTATGAATTAGGCAGTTTATACGAATCTATCCATAATGATAATAAAAGCCAATTTGTTGTTTTTAAAATTATCTTGTTTTATTCCTATGTGTAGGATGAATTGTAAATATCAAGCAAATAAAAAAATCTTTAAATCGTGTTTCACCTAAAATTTAACAAAATAACTGATTGTTGGATAGATCAGTAGATTGACAAAAACAACAACAATAGTAGTAGTGACTTTAAAAAATGATTGTCAAAAATCTCTTCACATTTCAACAAACAATTTTAGGATATTTAAAAAAAACAGTAAGGAAAGGATTTGAAAACAGAAATTCACAAGGGACTGTAATATCCAACTTGACGATTACATGATGGACAAAAATGTCTAGCACTTTTTGTGGAATCCAGACAGAATGGAATCAAGCAGCAACCAAAGAAAAACCTGAAATGAAAATAAACGCTAAAAATCAATATTTCGGAATGGCTGCAAGTTCTATTAACAAGATCGACATATATTTGCTGACAACATACTGTCCCAAAAGCGCATGGGGTCAGCATACCAATTCCGTAGAAAACATTTATTATTTATTTATTTTAACACATAGGTATTAGTACAAGGAGGCACCAAATACATATGCGCAACATGAATCTCAATTGATTTGTGTGAGGGCTGTGATACTGCCCGGGTGCCCAAACCAAAGCAGGTGGTTTTCTTAGGGGGCCACACCCCGAGCCTTTGACCTAAAGAGCTAGTCCACAAGGCAGTGGAGCATCGTGAGGAGATGCAGTTTCATGGTAGCCGGTGACCAAGAAATTGGTTCATACTCCATTTGTTCCCGCATGATACTGGAGCCCATGTGCACCATTGATTTGGGATCCGGTTATAGCGCCGGACATTCGCTTTTTGTCCTCTCATTTTCGTAAACAACACCCCCACCACGAGAAGGCAGTGAGTAGGACTTCCCTGGCAGAGGCTATATACGCATGACCATGTGAGAGAATTTCGAGAGGGAGGGCGAACTCACCCTACTCTCGGTCATACCAGGGCATTTCGGGGCTGTCTTCATTGGTACCATTGGTGGGTGCATAACATTCACTGTAATCCCCTACCTCCTTGTTTCGACGGATGCTCTAGTGATTCTGGGTCTATGAGATTCCCATCTTATAAGTGCTTTTCGTGTTTCTTTGGATAGCATCAGTGCAACTCCTTGTGTGTGCGGAGCATTTTCTTTTGCGTGACCAGTGTACAGCAGCATCTCTTCCAAATCTAACCTTTTCTGTCCAGCTTCGGTCCAATGCGTTTCACGTGTTCCGTGCACCACCAGGTTGTGTATCCTCATCTACGTCGCTGTTTGTTTAGTTATCTCAGTCTCCCACGTTGTCTGAACATTCCATGTGCTTAAATTAATTTTTGCTCTGGTTGTTAGACGGAGCATCGGCGTTGTGACTTCGAAAGAATCTCAACTTTCACCTTGGTGTCATAATTCTTTCTTGAACTTAAAGGACAGAGTTTAAGTGGTCTAATTTGTTTGTTGTGGTTAGAATTTTTTGTAGCAAGGTTGCCCCCAAATGCCCTGGTTTGACCGAGAGTAGGGTGGGTTCGCCCTCCCTCTCGAAATTCTCTCACATAGTCACGCGTATATAGCCTCTGCCAGGGAAGTCCTACTCACTGCCTTCTCGTGGTGGGGGTGTTGTTTACGAAAATGAGAGGACGAAAAGCGAATGTCCGGCGCTATAACCGGATCCCAAATCAATGGTGCACATGGGCTCCAGTATCCTGAAGGAACAAATGGAGTATGAACCAATTTCTTGGTCACCGGCTACCATGAAACTGCATCTCCTCACGATGCTCCACTGCCTTGTGGACTAGCTCTTTAGGTCAAAGGCTCGGGGTGTGGCCCCCTAAGAAAACCACCTGCTTCGGTCTGGGCACCCGGGCAGGTGCCTTAGAAATATTGCTCGCATCTGCTGGGATCACCAGGTAAGTAATAGTGAGGTTAGACGCAGGATACTAGGGAATGATGGTAAATCAGTTGATGAGGTTATGAATCTTCATCGACTGAGATGGTTGGGCCACGTGTTGCGTATGCCTGAACACCGATTACCACGACGCGCAATGCTCACTGGTGTTAGAAATAATTGGGAGAAAGTTAGGGGCGGCCAAACCAAAACGTGGCATCAGTGCTTGAAGTCACTAACTTCTGGTCTGAGCCATGTTGGTAGATGCAGACTACTTGGTTGGGGTCCGCGTGACTATCGTAACCAATGGTTGGAGACTTGGTGACATGGCTCAGAATCGATCACAATGGCGTCGATGTATACACTCTCTGTCTTCCTTTAAACTAAGAGATTAAAATCACTTCAAATCTTTCTTTCTAGGAACTAATTCTTTCTTCCTGTACTATCTCCTTATACACAATCTTTCTTCTATACATTACCACCACTGAATTAACTACTTCTATGAATCCGGTGTTGATCTTGTTGTGCTAATGCGGTATGGCAACTTGGACCGATGCATATACGTGCCTGGTCCTACGTTGCAGCTGACTGACTGACTGACCCGGGCGGTATCTCAGCCCACGCACTAAAACATGATGAACTATTTTTTTATGAAAAATATTCCTTTCACTTCGATTAACATTGAAATGACTCGCACTACTATTATTATTATTATTATTATTATTATTATTATTATTATTATTATTTACTACGTCATTTATTCACTCTCTCTTATTCCCACTTTATGTATCCTTTTCGACTTAGACATCAGCTCGCCTGTGGTGAAAATTCGGCTTTATCTAAACGTTCTTGAGTCACTGCCTGATTGTAAATTGTATGTTACCATCGAATACGAGTACTGAAGCAGTTTTTCTGAAACCACGTGCACCATTCAAACTGGCTGCCTTCAACGTTCGCACAATTATGCAGGTCGGACAACAGACAGGGCTGGCTATGTCTTTGGGAAGTCTTAATATTGACGTCTGTTGTCTATCCGAGACCCGTATTCAAGACTCTGGTGAAGTACTACAAATTCGCTCTCCATTTGTCACTTCAAAAAGCTTGTTTTACATGCGTTTATCCGGGGACCCTGTGGCATCTTCGTCTGGTCTTGCTGGCGTTGGTGTCGCACTAAGCGCTAGAGCTGAGGCAGCACTAATCGATTGGGTCCCCATTAACAGTCGGTTGTGTTGTCAGATTAGAAAGTACCAACAAAGTGAGAAGAAACCGGCGTGAAAAACGATGTCTTTTCGTCATCTCCACCTATGCTCCGACAGATTGCAGCCCGGATGCAATCAAGGACGAATTCTACCATCAGTTAACTGTTCTCCAGAAAGTGCGTTCGACAGATATTGTAGTACTAGCCGGAGACTTGAATGCTCAGGTCGGGAGTCTAGGCAAAGAAGAGAGTCGTTTAGGTGGCCGATGGGGACTTGTTGGTCGTCTAATGCAACTATGCACAGACCACAACCTGTTTCTGGCTAGCACTGACTTTCCGCACAGTCATCGCCAATGTACCACCTGGTGTCCTCCTTCTGCATCTCAAGCCTGGACTCAGATTGATCACATCGCGATCAGCTACCACTGGCGCGGTTGTGTACAAGACTGCCGCTCCTTTTGGAGTACCTATCTGGAATCTGATCATGCTCTAGTCTGCGCCAATCTTACCTTACTTTTCAGTAACCATCGAAGTGACCGCCACCAAAGGATTGATGTTAGCAAGCTGGCTGCAACTTCTGTTGCTAGTAAGTACCGAACCGAGCTAGCTTCTAGGCTAGCTACCATTCCACCGAAAAGCATAGATGAGCATTGGTTGCAATTGCATGACGCCATCAAAATGGCGGGTAAAGTCTGTTGTGGGTTCGCGAAACATCCCGCTTATAAGCACTGGGTTTCTTCTGGTTCCTTACAACTCACTGAAGCCCGTCGGTCTACTCTGGGTGACCGTGAGTTTGACCACAGACGAAGGATGTTACGTAATGAAATTGGGCAAAGCTTGCGTAAGGACCGAGAAGCCTGGTAGTCGGAGCGTGCTAACGAGCTGGAAGCAGCAGCTGCATCTGGTAATTAACGGAAGCTCTTCCAACTCACCCGAGCCACTGGCAGCAAGACGTCTGGTGTGAGAGAAGCAATCTGCGAGGATGACGGAACACCAATCACTAACATCCATCGACGTCTTGGACGATGGGCAGAATTCTTTGAAGGGCAGTTCAACTGGCCTGCTGCTCCGGCAACATCGGTCAGACTGTCCTGCCCTCCATGGCCGGTGACGACTGATCCACCAAATGAGGCGGAAGTCTGCAAGGAACTCCAACTCTTGAAACGTTACAAATCACCGGGCCCAGACGACTTACCTCCGGCTCTTTTTAAAGATGGTGGTGACTTTCTGACTAAGGGACTGACGACGTTGTTTACATAGGTCTGGGAACTAGAGAGTGTACCAACGTCATGGAATGAGTCGATAGTTGTTCCTATCTTTAAAAAGGGTTCACGTCGTTCCTGTAACAACTATCGGGGGATAAGTCTACTTTCGATTGCGTCCAGGCTATTGGCTTCCGTTATACTTCGTAGGTTGTTCAAAACCCGAGAGAGATTGACTCATGAGGAGCAGGCTGGTTTTCGTTCTGGTCGAGGATGTATTGATCATATCTTCACCATCCGCCAAATGTTAGAACACCGCCATACTTATCGAAGGCCAACAATCGCAGTGTTTCTTGACATCATGGCTGCCTTCGATTCGTTGGACAGAACTGTTCACTGAGATTGTCTATTGAAGAAGGGTGTGCCTGAGAAGCTTATTAACATCCTAAAGGCCCTATATACAAATACCTCAGGCAGAGTGAGAGCATACAACCACCTTTCTCCATTATTCCATTCAAGCAGTGGGGTTAGGCGGGGTTGCCGAATCTCACCATTCCTCTTCAACTTTGCCATCGATGACATTCTGGAAACAGCTCTGATGGACGTAAGTAATGGTGGTGTGGATTTGTTGCCTGGAGAAAGACTTCTCGACATTGAGTATGCGGATGATATTGTCTTACTGTGCGAGAATGCCCAAGCCATGCAATCCGCACTTAATCAGTTGGCAATGTCCATAGGTATGGTATGTGCTTTGCACCCTCGAAGTGCTAAGTACTTCTACAAGACTGGCAGGATTCTAATCCTGTACTCACTCTGGATGGTGAGCAGATAGAAGTAGTCGAGAAGTTCGTGTATCTAGGTAGCTGCATAAGCGCTGGTGGTGGCGTGAGTGATGAGATCAATGCACGTATAGTGAAAGCCAGAGCGGCTTATGCCAATCTGGGCCATCTTTGGCGCCTTCGTGATGTCAGTCTGGCTGTAAAAGGTCGGATCTACAACGCGACGGTGAGAGCAGTTTTGCTCTATGCTTGTGAAACCTGGCCTCTCCGAGTTGAGGATGTTAGACGACTCTCTGTGTTCGATCATCGTTGCCTCCGAAGGATTGCTGGCATCCAGTGGCAACACCATGTCAGTAATGCAGAGGTTCGGCATCGAGTGTTCGGTCACAGAGACGATAATGAAATTGGTGTCACCATCTTGAAACACCGACTTCGGTGGCTTGGACATGTTCTACGAATGTCGTCCCAGAGAATTCCACGTCGTGCATTATTTGCCGACTCTAGGACTGGTTAGAAAAAGCGGAGAGGTGGTCAGTATATGACGTGGTGTCGTGGTATGAAAGAAAGCTGCAAAGGGCTGGCTTGTGTTGGTCCTTCACGACTCCCTGGTTGGGGTCCGAGAGATGGTGTAACACAGTGGCTAGAAACGTTATCAGATATGGCTCAGAATAGAAGCCAGTGGAGATCCTGCTGTAACCTTCTTTTACTTTCTTCGTACAAAGCGGTTGCTTCTTCCTTAACTGAAAGATTTCCTCTGATTGTACCTTTTCGTTTCCCCCATTATTGTTCTCTCTTTTTTTTTTTATAATTCCCTACGTTCATTACCTTTTTTCTCCTTCTCTATAAATCCTCATTGTTTTGTGTGGCGCATATATATTTGGTGCCCCCTTGTACCAATATTTATGTGTTCAAATAAATAAATAAAGTAATGAAGACGATAAAGATCCGTTTTACTAGAGGCTGCAGTCGGTCGTAAAGAAGTGAACCACAAGGATCGATGTTGAACCACATCACCTTAGGTCTGTTCTGCAAGATCCAAGTCAACAGTTGGAAACTACACAAATTTATCCTGTTTTTGGTCGAACCACCACTAGTTTCAACCTTCATTTATACCATCCAGCATAGCGCGTCACTGTAGCCAATGACTGAAGAGGCGCAATTATCCCGGTTAATGAATGATGATAGTATGATTGACAGAATTGAGATTTCTAACGAGCACTCAAGGTATAACCACAGCATTTTCAGCTCAATAGTTCCGTCATACACGAATAATACTTTGAAGATGTATATGATTGGATGCGAATTATCACCACATGATACAATTGTCAAGAATTTGGATTCCATATCATTAGGAATTTTCCCATACTAAGCCAGATGAGGCTGAAGATGGCGGAATGTGATCCCAACTTCTGTTTCAGATTTTTTAAGTAAACCACAATCCTCACGTGCTTCTGAAGTCAATAAGATGGCAATAAAATGGTTAGAAGATTCAATAAATGCAGTGAAAAAAAAGGTCGATATAAGTAAAAATTTCACTTGTCTGTCTGATTTTATCCAAATCAAATAGGTAATATGAACCCACCCGAAGAAGCAGAGGATTCCACATAACAACCACGGCAAGCATCCAGATTCTAACCTAACCCTTGTAACAGCAGAGTTATGGCAAAAGGGACAAGTGATACTAACAGGATATCGGTGGTATGCAGTTGCGGTCACCGTCGGTTGATGAACAATCACTGTGGCTAAGGTAGATAAGAAAAGATAATTAGTTTATTGTACTATGAAAAAACAATACAGAATCAATGGTAGCACTCATTTATGTTACCTTAATTTTCAAATTCCATGCAAAATATGAAACATAACTTAAATATTCATCATAATCAATTGAACTGCTTTTTTTATTTTTGTCTATTTTGGTATGCTTTTGGTCGATGACATTCTGTGTCAGCTATAAACATATAGTTGATTCACCTCTCTGGTAAGTGATTTACTTAAACTCCTCAGATAAAGCATTATGGAATACACTTTGTGTGTCTTAAGACAGCATAAGAAAATTAAAGAAACTCAATCGCTTACGAAAAACTAAGTGTATTAGCATTTCCGTGACAAATTTTAAGCCACGTTGTATATGATCTTTAACCATTAATTCAACCATTGTCAGAAGCATTGTTGGGGAGTTTTACAGATCTTCGATGCCGATCAGATCAGTGGGTAAATATGAAACAAAGAATGTGTCATATTTTCACCAGGACATTTAAAGACTTATTTTGTTTTACTTCAATTTCAACCGTGATATTTTACATAATGCTAGTTCACAATCTTATCAATTAATTTACACCGACACCGCTTATCAAATATGGTTTCAACGGTTTGAGTGTATTTTACACTATGTGATGTTTTGCGCAACTTCACAGTTTAGTTTAAATGTTACAGGAAAACACTGTGCTTGGAACCTTAAAATACATCTGAAGTATAACAATAAAAACTAAGTGATCGAATTGCCACTTCCATTTAGAACAAAAAACTTTAAGGAGTAAAAACTGGGGGATTACTTTTTTTGCCCGGAATTTCAACGAATACAGTTGTTTAAAAAGAATTACAAGTGAAATGAAGAAAAGCTAGACACTCCATAAATAAATGTGTACGGTGATCAGTCTTTCTATTCTTAAAAAAGTCTTATCTTCAGGATGACTTACACTGGTGATATGAAAGGCAGTGAGGAGCATTTTGGTTTTCATTGCGGTAATTTCAGTAGATAAATGTACTCATGATAAGACGAATGACAATGTGCACGGAACCTAGATACAGATGATTGATCAATAATAAATAAATAACCTAAAAACTAGACCGACATCTGTAAAATGACTGAGTTTGCGTAGGTAACAGAAGTAAAAGAAATCTGAAAACAATTTGTAGTAAATAGTAGCCACATGGTATCCAGACCATAGGAATCAATACGAAAACACTAGTGAAAAGTGGAAAACAGTAGAGTATGACAAGTGAATTTTGTGTCTAAGCATTATTAGTCATACTAAGATGCTAGTTGGGTATAAAGATTGGAATTAATTCTACTTTAACGCTCTTCATTCTAGAAGAAGAGATAAATTATAAATGACAAAAAAGGAGTAATATTGGATATCGGTTTTTTAAATCCTGATATCCATAATCATAATGCTCACCTGGAGCATAGTACGAATAAAACTAATAGAAATAGGTTTAGTTACCGATAAATTTTACGTACTATTATCGCCTCTTAAACGTTAGAAAATAATATCACT